GGTTTAGGGTTTAGGGTTTGAATCCTCTGAAAGTCTTAAAACCCACAAGCCTGGGAGGCCGGATCTCGCCAAGAAGAAGGCGGAGCTCATCGCACAGCAGAATGAGTTCAAGGCCAGCGGGGCGGGGTTGGCTGTCAGAGTTTCGGAGCTACGCTACTTTGGGTTTAGGGTTTAAGGTTTAGGGTTTAGGGTTTAAGGTTTAGGGTTTAGGGTTTAAGGTTTAGGGCTTAGGGTTTAGCTTGAACAGTTTATCTCGAAAATTGCCGACGTCAAGGGTAGTAAGCGATGACCGCAGCTACACAGACATCACGGGCGATTTTCCCACAAGTATGTGGCCTGTAAGACATTGTGACAACTCCACCTCGTCTTCAAACAACCCTAAACCCTAAACCGTGGTTGGTTCCTTTGCCGTTGTCCCTAAAGCTTTGGTCCTAAGCCGGCACCTTAAGCTCAATGCAAAACCCTAAGCACCAACTCTGAACCCCGGTGCTGACCTTCAAGCTTTGCCGGTGGCCCATCAGTTCAGAGCCTCTGGCGCTTAGGGCCTTCCAGGTCTGTGGGGCTCATGGGATGGACATTTACTAGGTAGGCCTTTGGGACTTTTTTACGTTTTCCCGTCTTGGGCTTAAGATGATCTTAATTACGAATAGCTTTCAGAGGCTTTGAGGGGCCAACCTAGTTTGGGGTTGGGAAAGTTCTGGCTTTGGAGATTTGGTTCAGGTGCTGACCCCGAGTTCCCTTTCCCCTTCCCGGTATCTTATCAAAGTAGTCAGAAATAACCATGGACCAAGGGTACCCAGCGCAAAAGTGACACACACACACACGCGCGCGCGCGTGCATTCACGAAGACTGCCTGTCTGGAAAAGCAGTGATATCGATCCCCTAAACCCTAAACCCTAAAACCCAAAGACTAAACCCTAAAGACCCTGAGCCCCTCCCTGGTCTAGCAGCCCAACCAAACAAGTCCTAAACCCCCCTAAACCCCACACCCGAAATCCTAAACCCCCAAACCTTAAACTCGAAACCCTAAACCCTAAACCCTAAACCCTAAACCCTAAACCCTTATGAGGCCCTAAGCCCCATGGGAGGCCCTGAAGCCTCCAAGATCCCCTATAAGCCTGATAGACCCCTTTAAAGGAACCCTTAGGCTTTCGGGTTTAGGGTTTAGGGTTTAGGCCTTAGGGTTTGGGGTTTGGGGTTTAGGACCCTTTAAAGCTTCCAGCGGCGGCTTTGCCAGGTGACCTTGGCACACTTGGAGGCCTTGCTCTTGGAAGCTCGGCTTTAAAAATAAAGGAAATCTTTAAAGCTAAAGGAAGCTTTAAAGGACACCCTTGAAGGACGCCCTAAAGTTAAAGGATACCTTTAAAGGACCCCCTAAAGTTAAAGGGATCCCTTTAAAGGACACCCTTCAATGGACGCCCTAAAGTTAAAGGAAGCCTTTAAAGGAACCCTTAACGGAACCCTTGCAGGAAGCCTTCAAGGAAGCCTTATCGGAACCCTTTACGGGTTTGAGGGGGTTTTGAGGGTTAAGGGTTTCATACAGGTGGGTTTCGGGGAGAAAGGGAGTTAATGTTAAAGTTGTTGAAGGTTTAGGGTTTAGTATAAAGAGCTTCGGGACTGGAACGTTAGGGTTTTTGTGCAGAGCTTGGGAGCGGGGGTCTGCTCCGGACGGCTTCGATGTCAATGGGGCCTAAACCCTAAACCCAAACTTCAAATTTAAACCCTAAACCCTAAACCCAAACTTTAAATTTAAACCCTAAACCCTAAACCCAAACTTTAATTTTAAACCCTAAACCCTAAACCCTAAGTATCGGTGATGCCCCTCCTCCCCGCAGCTCGCCTGCCCCCACGAACGTTCGTATCAATCGCGCTTCCAAGGCCCTCAACCTTTACGACCAAAGCGGTCCAATTACCAGCACTACTACTGTTGGGGGTTTTCCTTAATATAGCACTACTATTGTTTGGCGGTTCCTTAATATAGCACTATTATTTTTGGGGGTTCCTGAATATAGCACTATTATTTGGGGGGGTTAAACCCTAAACCCTAAACCCTAAACCCTGAACTATAAACCGTAGTTTTGGGGGTTCCTTAATATAGACAGCTTTGACAGCAGCGTGGCCAAGGAGAAGCTGGCCAATGCCGAAGGTGACATCCTTGATGCCGCTTGTCCGGGTTTAGGGTTTAGGGTTAAGGGTTTAGGGTTTAGGGTTAAGGGTTTAGGGTTTAGGGTTTAGGGTTTAGGGTCCCGTCTCCCAGGGTGTCATAGCCTTTAGCGAGTGAAGGGCTGAGGGTGTAGCAACCCTATGAGCCCTCAACCCTAAACCCTAAGCCCCTGAACCCTAAACCCTATGAGCCCTAAACTTTAGACGGTTTAGGGTTTCGGGTTTAGGGTTTAGGGTTTAGGCTAAACCCTCAACCCTAAGCCCCTAAACCCTAAACCATGTGGAATGCTTCATCTACCCGGGAGGGATGCTTAAAGGTAGTCCTACATGCCTGCCCAACACGGGCTTTGGAGCGCAAGCAACAGAAAAGGCCCTAAACAAAAAAAACCTAAACCCTATGAGCCTTCAACCCTAAACCCTAAACCCTAAGCCCCTAAATCCTAAACCCTATGAGCCCTCAAGCCTAAACGCTAAACCCTAAGCCCCTGAACCCTAAGCCCTATGAGCCCTCAACCCTAAACCCTAAACCAGTTCAGATTGTGCTTCCAATGAGGGCACAGTGATTCGGGCCACCCGTGTTCGACAATGTATGTTGGGGGCTCACAGCCTCAGGCTTTAGGGTTTAGGGTTTAGGGTTTAGGGCTTTAGCGTGGGGGTGATAGGTTGGGACGGGTGTCGTTGGCTTCTTGGGGCAGCTTAAGTACCTTCAGTCTCCGTTGTGGTTTCTTTCTTGTCTTTGGGCCTAACCCCCTAAACCCTAAACCCGAAACCCTAAACCCTAATTAAACCCTAAACCCTAATTAAACCCTAAACCCTAAACCCTAACTAAACCCTAATTAAACCCTAATTAGACCCTAAACCCACTTTTTGTTTAGGACCTTAGAGGGGCAGCCCCGAAGAGGAACTCGTGACGAGAGGAGCTCCCCGCTGCGAGGGTTTAGGGTTTAGGGGGCTTGGGGCTTGGTTGCGGGGTTTGCATGCTCAGGGTTTAGGGTTTAGGAGTTTCGGGTTTAGGATATAGGGTTTAGGGTTTAGGGTCTAGGGATATACAGGCTTTAGGGTTTAGGAGTTTCGGGTTTAGGGGTCTGGGGGTTTTGGGTTTAGGCTTCAGGGTGCTTTGAGGGCTTTGTGTTGTTTGGGATGCTTCAAGTTGAGGGTCCTTTGGCAGCAGAATCCCGGGTGTTCAGGCTGGGTTGGGTCATAAATTCAGATTGATGCTTGCGGCCCTCCGACCCTAAACCCTAAACCCTAAACCCAAATGAATCCTAAACACTAAAATATCGGGGCCTTAATAATTAGAATGAGGTTGAGGGGGTAGCATACTATAAATATAACAAGGAACGCCGAAAACCATGTTCCAACATTTAAAGGCCCCCTACATTAGACCCCCCTGATACATGAGAACCCTTAACCAAGGACACAGAGCTCATCCTTTCCCTGGAGGAGGCTAAGAAGCGTCTTGGCCAAAAAGGCGAGGGTAGACGGCGTTTACAGATCATCGGCTCAGGGCTGGGGGTTTTCCCTAGGCCCATAAGCACTTCTGGAACCCTTCTAGAACCTTTTGGGACCATAGAAACCCTGACAGAATTACAGAATCCAGGCAAGTCTTGTGGAAGCCCAGAAAGCTCTAGACGACTTTCGGAGGTTTGGGGCGAACCATATCTTGAAAGCATGACTGCTTGAGTTTAGGATTTAGGGGGTTTTCTGCAAGCCCACCTCCCGGTATGTACACGTTCTACTTGCTGTTGTTCCTCACCCCCAGACTCCCGTCCTGACAGCGCCCTCCCCACCAGCCTTGCTGACTCCCTACATACCCTGCAGATCCTACAAACCTCACTGCCCGATGTCCCCTGAACCCCAAACCCTGTAAACCGCAATCCCTAAAACCGACAGCGAATCCCGGAAAGTTGGAACATGGGAATATAGTAGGAGGATTAGTGCTAGGATCCCTTATACTTTAGCTTGAGGATAACGATGTTCCAATTTTCTGGCTTTTATACTATAAGCCCGGAACGGATTCAGGACCAGTGATGAGGTCAAGGAGAAGGTCGTGATCGCCCAGGCCACTCAGGGGCTTACGGTGTAGGGGTTTAGGGGTTTAGGATTTAGGCTCTGAGATATCAGGGTTTCGCAGTGCTTTTTAGTTCTTACGGCCTTGTCTGGTTTAGAGTTTTAAGAGTTCTCAAAAGATGTGGGGCAGTTGCATCATGCACAGCTTAGCACGGTTTCTGGTCATAGTCAATCTTCGAAACGGCTTTATACTCTTCGCGTCTTTAGCCTTTTTTACATGGTTTAGGATCTAGGGCATCCTTTTAGGGTGTTCGGAGCTTTTGCAGATCTCCAGACTGCTTGTGCAGTTTACGGGGCGGGGAGCTTAGGATGTAGGAGTTCAGCGCATTCAGCTGTTGGGTTTTCGGGCCTTCAGGGTTTCGGCCTAAACCCTAACCCCTAAACCCTAACCCCTAACCCCTAAACCCTAAACCCTAAACCCTAAACCCTAAACCTTAACGGAGCAAGGTTTAGGGCTTTTAGGTTTTTTCGAGCTTCGGGCTGAGTTCGGAGTTTTGTGACTCGCGTCGAGCCAAGCACTTCGGCGAGAATGTCGTGGCTGCCGGCTGTTGCTGTAGAGTCTGGACATGTGGGTTTTTGTCAAAATGAGGGTCCCTTTTGGGGTCCTTTTTATAAGGGTGCCGTACTATATTGGGGACCCAAAAAGGGAGCCTAATTTAGAGAACTACCCATGTGTTGTCACCAACCCTCGATCTAGGAGCGAAGCTCGACAAATTCAAACCCTGCTTGCTGACAAGAAACAGGGGGTTTCCGAAATTTATGGGGGGCCCAACATAGTACCCTTAATAGTAGGCTCCTTATTATAAGGACCCCAAATAAGGTACCCCCCTTATTTTCGGAAACTCCCAAATGAGTTTCTTAACAGGAAACCTGAAACTCCTTAAACCTCCAATCCAAAGTTGCATAAGCTCCGTCCGAATGTGTAGACTCCAAACCCAAAAGCCCAAGCTGCTAAACGTTGCCACCAAGCCCTAAAGGCCTGAACCCTAAACCATAAACCCGGAATCTGCAACTCTTAGTTTCCGCAGCGCAGGGGTTGTATACTTTTGTACATCCTTCGTCCCCCTGTTGCTCCGCGAATCCACAACTCTGCTAAACCCTACTTCCCGAAAAGAAGCCCGCAACACTTATAAAACCTAAACCCTAAACCCTAAACCCTAAACCCTAAACCCTAAACCCTAAACCCTAAACCCTAAACCCTAAACCCTAAACCCTAAACCCACAACTGTAAACTTCACTCCCCTACACACCTTAAGCCCGAAACCCTAAGCCCAAAACCCAAACCCTAAGCCCAAAACCCCAAACCCTAAACCCAAAGCCTAAGCGCTAAACCCTATAAACCATCCTAAACCCAAAGCCCTAAACCCTAAACCCTAAACCCTAAACCCTAAACCCTAAGCCCTAAGCCCTAAACCCTGAAACGCCTGAAGGACACGGAGCTCAAGATCAACGAGACTTCTGAGTTCTATCGGCCAACAGGTGGGCCCTCTTTCGCGCGAAAGCTTTCGGGAAAGGGGTTCAGGGTTTAGGGTGTCCCTTACGGTTTCGGGCTTAGGGTTTAGGGTTTAGGGTTTAGGGTTTAGGGGTTTAGGGTTTAGGGTTCAGGGTTTTAGGGTTCAGGGTTTTAGGGCTCTAGGCCCCTACATTAGGGTTTTTGGTCTCAACGTGTATGTTCAGGTTGCTTTGGCAAATGGCTGAGCAGATAGGAGAATGTGGTGTGCCCAACGGTCCCAACCACTTATGCAGATCATAATTAGTCCTAAACTCCAAAAATCTAGACCTCAAACCCCACATCAAGGTCGATGTCTATTTGTTGCTGAGGTGCGATGCGAAGAAGCAGTATAACGTCAACCTTCGCAAACTAAACAAGGCAACTTTCCAGTGGTTCTTCTACAGCCGTGCTTGGTTTTTCGTTTGTCTCATGCCGAAGCTTTTCTGACGACTGTTGCATTTGAAATTCTGGCTTAGTCTACATCCTCTGCATTCATTACCCCTAAGGGTCCATGTGCCCACATAGAAGATACATTGCACCCAAAGTACATACATAGGGACTACTTTATGGCCAAAGTATATACTATTTGGGACATGGACTCGTAAGGCTAAACCCATCGAGCCGAAGCCCAAAGTCCCGAAATCCGTAAAACCCCATTTAAACCCGAAGCCGTAAACCAGAATTAACACTCAAAGCCAACGTCCTAGCTTTCAAAACACGGTTTAGGGTTTAGGGTTTAGGGTACCCTAAACCCTAAACCCAAAACTCCCCTCTAAGCTGCTGGAGGCTAAGACCCAAACCCCCGCCATGCCGAGTATCGTCCATCACCGAGCTCTTGCAACTTCTTAAGGAACTCAATATGCAATGCCGTCATTAGGAAAACGCTTCCTGCACAAAATTCCGCTTCTGGGGGCTCAAGCAAGCCTAACACCCTATAAAAGCTCTGAAGTTTTCTGAAGCTCATTTCTCCGTTTGCAAACCCCTCCAGAGAATCCCGTCAGTACCCTGTAAAGACCTAAACCCTAAACCCTAAACCCGGTAAAGACCCCTAAACCCTAAACCCTAAACCCAAAACCCTAAACCCTAATGACATGGCACTTATGGGTTCAGGTGCGCGAGGAGCTCTCCTGTTCTTCCAGCTGATGAGCCTTTGTTCCTTGACTTTGTCCGAAAGGTTATGTGGGTTCTCTAAATTAGGGGCTTTTTTAGGCTTCCTTAGATGGATCTATAAGGGTTTCTATAGGGCTTCTATAAGGGTACTCGTAGGGTAGTTCTCTAAATGAGGGTCCCTTGTTATAGGTCCCCAAAATAGCACGGCACCCGTATGAAAAGGCCCCAAATTGGACCTTGATTTAGATTTAGAGAATTACCCATGCAGTCATAGGACCAACGTAGGATGTCGCAATGGAGGTTTTCTGAAATCCACCGTATAGGGGCCTTTCTACTCCTAGTGTAAGACCCTTGTGTAATATGTGCCCTGTTGGTACGATCAACGCCATTTCTGCCGGGATGGATACTTGCAAGACAGCCGCACCTGTTCGGAGACCTTCTCTGTCAGGCACACAAAGTTCATCAGCACCCCAAAGCCTGAACCCTAAACCCTACCACAATTGAGTTTGTATTGCCCACACCCATGGTGATAGTCATGGTGCTAGGGTGTGGGTGAAGGCGAGGGGGAAGATGGTGAGCAACAAGAGGAAGTTGATCCTAGTGGTTACAGATATGGTATAATTGCGGAGGTCCATAGTCATGCTGACGAATGTCCTGGTGATGAGGACGATGGCTATATCGATCCGTGAAAAGGACAACAACCCAGGGATCGTGAACATAACAAGGCCTACATGACATGATTCTATGATGATGGTGGCGGCTGTGATGAGGTCGACGGCGATGACATTGAAAGATGATTTCTTGATGGTGGTGACATGAATTTTGCACAGGCCGCGGATGCTTGTTCTTGACCCATCGCTTCGTTGACATTGTCCCTAAACCCTAAACCCTAAACCCTATAAACCTAAGCCCTAATCCGAATTGAGGTCGGCATGTTTACTCACAGACTTTTCTCACTTGCAGTGCAGCATACCAGGGAGCCTTATTCAGGCCCCCATATTACGGATATCCTGCTCTTGGGTTCGGTTTAGGGAGTTTAGGGTTTAGAGGTTTAGGGTTCGGGGTTTAGTGGGTTTAGGAGGTTTAGGGTGTTTAGGGGGTTTAGGGGGTTTAGGGTTTAGCTGTCATGAATAGCATCCAGATCTCTTCAACTAAGCTCCTAGGTCGGGAACCTGAAACACAATGCTCTCAACACTACTATAGAAGACTAAAGAATTAGATATACTAATCCTTAGGTTCCTTATTATAAATATATTGCAAAGGAGCCCAAAACCCTTTTCTAGTTATTAAGGCCCCTACACTACCCACATCCATCATCACATGCTGAGGCAATATGCACACCTTCTACAAGTACTCCTTGGACGCTTATCTTATGGCTCCTCGGACAGTCGAACGCCCATTTCTGCTACGTTGCGCCTTCGGATCTCAGGGTTTGCCGGGCTTCGCAGCGAGTTTGAGGAAGAAGGTGCCTGAGCCGAACACTCAGGAAGCCGCAAAGCACCTAAACCCAAAACCCTAAACCCTAAACCCTAGGAACCTTTGTAGGTTCCCTATGGTACCCTGAGCCCTATACCTTGCAAAGCTTAAGTCGGAAGTCGTCAGCGAGCCCAAAGTTCGTGACTATTCGGAGCAACCGCAAGGTGTGCGGCCTTAGGGCTTTAGGTGCGCCTTTTCACTTTCTTCCTGCGGTTAAGGCCTGAACACCTCATCGAGTTTTGGTTCGCATGGTGTTCAGTGTAGGGTTTGATTGGGGAATCTGTGATTTCGATATGCGTAACATCGCCTTCTTCTGGGTTTTCCAGCGAACATGAAGTGAGGTCGTGACGCGCGCCGTGAACAGCGTCACCTTGCGGAAGCCAAAGGTGCCTCCGTTCTTGACGGGGTTTCGGAAGCAAGAGGGTTTTGCCACAGGACCGCAGTTTGGGCTAAAGTTTAAACCATGTGTTTATCAATGCTGTCAGTCTTGGTTTCTATGTGTGTATAGGTTCATGCATACACACACATACACATACTTACACAGATAGACCTTTAAATTCACAAGCTAGTGTATCTGTATATCTATATATATACACATACACACTCATGCATAAGCATTTAGACAAACAAGTATTCAAACAAATAAATCAATAAATACAAACACAACGGTTATACGTAAGTTATGAATTCACATATATATATATATATCGATATCTATATCTGTACATATACATATTTTTTTATACACATGTATGTATACAGGCACACGCACACACGCACACACGCACACCCACACACACACA